GGTTTTGAGATGGGAGTGTGTTCTAGTATTATAATGATATTATAATGAGTAAAAGTTACTAAAGGACAGCATTTTCGTCAACGTCATGATAGTTCGTGACTTAGGGTATCACTTATGCAGCTTATCAGGACCATGGTGCCCCTCCGAGTTCCCTTATCACAGGGCTTGGCCGTGATGTCTCCACACCACTCCACCCCCTGGGCAGCTCCTCTCAGAATCAGCACACCAGGCTCCCCTGGGTTGCGACATCCAAGGTTACAGGCTTAGGAACTTCTGTGGGATAGATTCCTTGCATCCAGCTGCATTCCATCCAGAGAGCTTCTTCAATGCTGTACCTTTCTTGTAATCGTAAATCTATGTCTGGTGTCTAAGTCACCTCCAGCAATCACTTCACAACAAGACAACAATTTCAACATAGCTAGAGTCTCATCTCATGTCTGAGAATAATAAATGAGGCTCCCAGCTACACCCATGGCTTCATCGCCACCTCACCTGGTGGGATCAGCCTGACAAGCAGTGAGGTTTCCAGCCCCTGAGCTGTGGTTTGTGCAGATCCCTCTGCATTTCTCAGAGCCCATTTGCTTCCTGGATTTTCTTCTGGCCAGGAATTGCTGTTATCTCTTTTCCTGGCTTTGTCGTGGTAAAAAACACGCTCTGACTCATGCCTGGGCATATGGTGCTGGAATGATTTTTGAGCCTAGTCCATTACCCGGTGAAGCCGGTAGGGGCCGTGGTGAGAATTGTTAAATATTTCCATCATCTTTGATGTTTTCTGGGCTATACTTGAACCCTGGTTTCAAACAGGGAGAGATAATAGGATCAACAACTCATTAAGCAACAGTGAAAAGATGATACATAGGCTTGTTTGATCAACTACTGGACCGCCAAGTCTTCTCATCCACAACCATTATGGATCCATTATTCCTGGCTCATGGAGATGAACTGTTACAGCCCTGAATGTTCCTCCTTGTCTTTATACCCACCTCTTGGATTGCTACTCACTTGCTTCCTCACCAGTCCTTTCCACAGCTTGTTTGTATGACACTTTTTATCTGCATAAACTCAGGATCCTGGCCTGCAAATGCTTTTTCCTGGAATTGGCTGTAACACTGTGCTGATACACAATGTTGATCAACAGCAAGGTGAGATTCTGCACTGTATCAGGAGCTCAGCTGGTGATAGTCCTTGATAAAAAGAGAAACTGGGAACCAGAGCATGCAGAAGCTTCTTGTCTTCTGCTTCCTGCAGAGGTTTTTCTTCCCCCATTATAAATATATTCTCTTTAAGATGGAAAGTGCTTCCACATAACCAGGAAAGAAGATTGCATGGATGGCAGTAGAGGAGACTCGGTTGCCCCATGTGAGGTATTTAGAAGTTAGTTGCATAAGCCTGAAGGAGTCATTATGGTCTATAAAGAGCAATTGGCTCGGGTGCTGCTTTGTCTCACGAAGAGGTGCACATTAGATAATCCTGACAAGCACGCCCTGTGGTGTCTATTTCTACTGAGAAACAAATGAGAAGCTCAAGCTTAGAGGTCTAGATTTTACATGTGTAAAATTAGACGACATAAATCTTATCCCTAAAAGTTCAGGAATTGGTAGGGGTTACTCTGGGATCTGGAGTATACAAGATTTGACTGAGAGGATGAGGTTTTGCTATCAAGAACTCACTGTAGTTCTTGAGCTAATGTTTGGAGATGTGTTGACTCATTCCTGCAAGTCCAAGAGTATAATAAATGATTTTTGCTGTAAAAGAAGCTTTTTGTTTTGAGAGAAGCATCTCAGTTTCTCTATGGAACTGTTTCTTCTCTTCCATTGAAATAGAAGGTTGTGACATGAGATAGAGGCTTTCCTACCCGCTAACAAGAATATATAGAGGTGGTGTTGTCAGGCAACTATCTCAAAGCTTACGCAAAGAAATAAGTTAAATTCGCTTTTAAAATTTTCAGCAAACTTTTAATATTCATCCAAAACACATCTGCTGTGGTGACATTTCTGAATAGGCCAAGTTATTCTGAAAAGCTTTTCACATAGTCTCAAGTATAAATATTTTGATACAAAAAATAAAAATAAAAAGCCCTCCGAACCCAACCCCTCGTGCTCACATTCAATGGCGCGCCATCGTGCCATGAATAAACATGGCCTCTTCACTCCACGCCTAGCCAGACTACAGCTGTAGGAGACAGGCAGCATTAGATGCTTCCAGCCCACATTGCTTTTTTGTCTTGCCAGTGCTGGGAATCCAGGAACAGAAGAAGAGTCTGAAAGGTGTTGAGATGACCTTACTGGCTTTGAAGGTGCTTAGAGGCATGGGATAAGGAAGGAGCTAGTGAGCCTCTGGTCACCGCAGTGATGAAGGCACTGCTTCCATCGGCAGCAGCTCCAGCAGCAGTTCCCTGCGTTTTAGGTGCTAACGTCGTTTTGTAGCTTCAGTTGAGGACGTGGAGACCAGAGAGCTGTGGAGCAGGGCACATCTCCTGGGGCTGGTGTTAACGGTACTGCCTTGCGTTTACACAGAGCCACGGCTGCTGGCTCACTGCACGTTGTCAGGACTTACCCAGAACAGGTCTGGCTCAGGTGCTGGTTCACTGAGACATTGTGAGAGCATTCGCTGGCTAGGAAAGCTGAGCTTTTTTTCTTTTTATATTGTACAGCAGCTATAGATAAACCCAACTAGCAGCAGCATCCTATCCTATCTTGTCTGCAACGCACACTCAGAGATCATTACTATATCTCACCTACTTACTGACAAACGCGTCATGCTTACAATAATAAGCTGATCAGCGGCTTTGACATTTTACACTCAGCATCTGAGTTGATTTTAAGTCACTTCGACTTTTAAATTAAATTATCTCATGCATAGAAACAAAAGATGCAGAAGAACACAGCGAGGATTCACAGAACTCGTAATCAAGTACTTATTAACACACATATATATATATTAAGCTTTAAATCAAACCCAAATCTTTTCAGTTTTTTTAATATATGCACTCTATACGATGCAACAAACATTAGCATGGTCTAGCTCTCAGTCACATACGGTACTCTGGCCATTATACAATGTCTGCTCTACTGTTACACTTCCCTTTTAAACAAATGCAGGTAGACTAGACTCTTTAAAAAAATACAAGCCGGCCATAGCACTGTGGCTGAGCTGCCTTCCTTTATAAGGGAAGGAGTTCTAGTTTTGTTACATTAGGAGGGAGGGAAATAATATCATTTTGGGATCTTAGATGATCTTGTTCTCCAGGGCTTCGATCCTTTTTGCCACAGCTTCCAGTGAGCAAGAGTTAAGGGGAAAAATGACAGTGCACATTGGTGATTCATTGCTCAAGTCCTCCCCTGGCTTGCAGAAGAGATAATGAATGGAGCTACCTTGCTGGGAGCAGGTAGCAGAGGAATGCTGTCATCATCTACTCTGGCATTTCCAGAACTGTTCAGGCTGATGAACTTTTATTGAAGGTAGAAAATGTTCATGCATGCACACACACTCACATACACCTATAAATTTACTATAAAAGGAAGAGTAAAAAATCTGAGAATGATTGGAGTGTGTTTTGAGCGATTGACAGAGAATTCCTGACCTTGAGCAGTGTGGGTTGCATGAAGAGTGGAGCAGAGTGCTTTTCTTAGAGTTATATAGTGTGTCGCAATTTTCTGCTCTTTTCACTAATTGCTTTTCATGATGTGCCTGGGAGCGGCAACCCACTGGGTGAGAACTACTGATTTACTCTGACCTTTTGCATAACATAAGTCATGGATTTCACTCAATTTGAGTTAAAGAGTAGAAAATATACTGTGCAACTGACATAGCAAAGCACAGAAATGTGTGAATAAATTAGAACATTGTTTTTAAAATTATATTCTCTCTTTATGTAATGAAAAATCTCCCTAGCCCTGTGTGAGCCCCACCCCCCGCCAAGGTCTCACTAATTCCTCTCCCCATGAGAGACATTTGAATCTTATTCACAACTTTTTTCTTTTTCTTGTTTCTCTTTCAATCACTTATTCGTGGTCTTTGTGCAATATGACAGCACCCAGTATGGCAGAATGCAGTCCCACAAACTCAGTTCGGATGGAATCCAACTCATCTCACTGGAGATGTCTGCAGTGAGCAGTTACATGAGAGTCAGGCTCTCACAACCGAGGTTTAGACAGTTGGGAGAAATGGGACCTATCCCTCTGACTGTTGGACTTACCCATCTGACTTGATCCAGACCACCAACTATACAGTCAGAGGTGGTTTGCCAGAGAAGACCCTCTTTCAGACTCACTCTCTACAAACATTTCTGCCTGCTGATCTTAACCTGGGAAAGAGGAATTTAGGCAGCCAACTGATGTTTGCATTGTAGGCATTTACCGTCAGATAAAAGGAATCCCATCCATGGAGCTTTAATGACCGAGTGAATCAGCTGCATGCGTGCACCGGTGGTTTCGTCTGCTCACAGTCCAGTGCTAGCCACTGCTGCTCTCAGCCCTCACATTCTGGCCTGCTTCACAGGACCTGCAGCTGCAGAAGTAGCAGCATCATCCTGTGCATGACCCATGCTTCCACAGGAGTCACGCTGGCAGCGTTTAAGCATCTTTCCAAAAACAGCCTAGGTGTTGATGCCTACAGCTCATTGCTGTCTAGCAGTGGTTTGACATATTCTACTTTTCTCTATTGGTTTTGGTCTACTTATTCTGTGTCAGACCAGTAGCTGTGCACTCTGGTGCAGGGACTCTTCTTGTTATACACATTTATAACCCAAGTGTCTTTTTTCCCAGCTTCCTGAACACCTTCCCAACCTCCTTCTCCCATGTGTAGACTTTCCCCACTGGTACCTCCAGAAAGCACAACCCAACCCCCTGAGTTCTGAACACAGACAGCTTCCGAAGGATATATTTCTGCTGCAATGATTTTATGAGGTTTTCTACTTTGGTCTGGAACTTCACAATAGATTTACATTCACATGGATCTTCCTCTGTGGATCAGAATATCAAGAAGATGGGTTAAGTGGCACAAAAAAAAGGAGTAAATCAAAATCACTGAGTCAAGTGAAACAAAGCAACTCTTTTTTTCTTTATCATAAATATAAAGGAAATCAAAATATCATTCCTCCTAATTATCTGACTGATCACTTCTGGCTTTAACCTAAGATGACTGGAGAATCTCACATTTTATTGTTATATAGGCCAGGCTCTGTGCAAAAAAATTATTTCCTGGATTTCCAAGTTTCCTGAAAACCCACTAAGCTCTACTACTGCTGCTTAAAATTTGCCCCCAAAATTGGAATCTGACCAAATACAGTGCTCAAAACAGTCTCTGTTTGCCAGTTTTCTTCCCAATAACATCACCATGGTGGGCCATACTGTTTGCTACTCATAAACTTCTGTGAAATAAAACTTGGGAGGCACTGCTTACCATCTGAGAGTCAAGACTTGTTTGAGCTTTGCTTCAGCACTCCATTTCTTGAGCAGGCGGAGCAACATGCATTAATCAGTTTGCTAATCTATGTCAATAATTTACATATGTTCCTCAAGAAAAATTAGCTTAAACTGGAATAGGGGGAAAAAAGGGTACTGAGATGATTGGGAAAAGAAAGGAGATGTTTACAAGACTACACTGAGTCAGCTCAACTGCCTGGCAAATGGAAGGAGTAAATAGGAGAAGGACTTTTTAAGGGAAAGGATATCACTTGCACAAAAATGCAACAGGATTAAACCAGTCATGCATAAACTAAAGCTGGATATTAAGAGATGTCTAGCCATCTGTTGATAAATACAAGCTGGCACTGGAAATCAAACAAATACAAATATTTCCTTTCCTTCTTTTTTTTTTTTTTAAACTCAAATGTTAAGTGATTTTTTTGCAAACAAGTACTTTTTCTGAACTTTATTTTTACTTTTTTTGAATGCTGGAGTCTAAATATATTTGCCTTCTCGAAAGATATTTAAATAAAATATGTCAGGGATTTCCATGTAGGTCCCATCATCTTGTTCTTGGATCGACTCCTACTTTTTAAGGTAGCCATGGCAAAGAGAGTCTCTATCTATCTTGCAAGCCTGGCTACCAGGCTCTGCAGACACAGGACCCTGGAGGGTGTTGTTCCTCCCAGACTTCCCCAAGAGGAAAGGAAGGTCCCATCTTTAGGAATGTGGAGAACAGGGAACTTGCCCAGCATGACCCAGGACATCTGTAGTGAAGCAAGGAACCGAATCTGATTTTCCTGAGGCCTCTAACTTCCCAGGTACTTTTTCTCTCTGATATACACTCAGGGATAAAAACAGATGAGTCACCTACTGCTAACCCACTAATATTTACATGGCTATCTCTTGGTTTTGACACAAAAAACAATGATAGAAATTGCAAAGAAAGGGGAAAAGGAGATTAACATTTGGCAATGTGTATTATTTCATCCTGTTGATGCTGTGGAGCGTCTCCGCATGCCGTGAGAGCAGTGGAGGTCTCTGCAGTGTGTGGGCCATGGTGCACTCGAGCAGGTCTACACACTCATTGGAAGTAGAACTGAGCTTGGTAGAGCTCTCTTGGGAACTAAATGAGCCCCATCAGAGCTGTGTGCAATGTGTCTTGCTGGGAACTGGAAGGAAACATTTGCCTAGCAGGATAAAGGAGCCTGAGCACCTAGACTCGACAAGAGAGTGCCAGGTTCCTGATGAGCCTGGCAGCGTAGGGCTCAGAAGTGCTGCAAGGTATTCAGTCTTAAATGAAGCCTGAATGTTTGGGATTCACTATGATCTGCCTGATCCAGCAGACACATTGCAAAGGGCCAATATTTCATAGCAGGCATGAGTCCTTCAAAATAAAAATCCAAAATAACTGAGGTAGCTCTCTTTTTTAAATAATTTTAGACTTGGGTTATATACAGGTCAATATTCTTTAACTTTTAAGTTATTCTTTACCTCCTCTTGTCATGCCAGTGTCCCAGGCAGTTCCTCTCAGCCTTTGCTTCACTAGGCTATCCAAGCCTGGGCAACTTAGCATTCATATTACCCAAATTTAGACACCTGCGAGTCATGTGGAAGATACTAGATACTTATTTTAAATTGAAATGTGTCACCCTTGTGGTCCCTGTTTGGCTGTAGGAGCAGCCAGTGGTTAGCAACCTTCAACTCGGATGTCCAATTTTGCAATGATCTTCATATTAAGCCAAATAAATCAAGCCTTAGCTTCTCTTTTAAGAACAACTCTTCTTTCCTTATGTCACTTTTGGCTATTCGCAGGACCTGGTACAGCCTGAATTCATCGTTACTGAATAGGAAGGGAAAGAAGGG